TGCGCGTAGGCTGGCTATAAATCTTCATCATCTCCCCCCAGGTCAAGAACCCATTTCTCCAGCAAACACCACACACACGAGACACGAGACGCTCAGACGCACAATGGATTCCGTGGCCACAGTCGCCGACCTTGGCGCCCTGATCTCCGACGCATGCCGCGACGCGGAGAAGCTGCCAGGCGCTCTGATCTCGTGCGGCGTCGCGGAGGCCGCCGCGGCACTCTGCCTCGTCATCTCCAAGGCGCCCGGCGGTGTGTTTCTCCACCACGGCAAAGCGCCATTCGTTCTGTACTACGGCATCCTCGTCGCCGTGTTCATCTTCGGGCTCCTCGAGGCGTCGGCCGGCTTCTGGGTGTCAGGCGACGTGGTCGGACGGCGCGCCGCCGGGAAGACGGTCCTCTGGTTGGGCCTCCTGCCCATCGTCTTGGTGGCTGCGCTTGGAGGCATTGTCATTCTGAGCATGAAATAGTTTCGACGCTTGCCAGTAGTATCACGTACTGATGCAATTGTAATCTGTTCGTCCATGTCAGCTACGCCTTGTGTGTGTAGGTGGGCGCGCGTGAGCTTGAGGTATCATTTCCTTTCACTTGCAGTCTGCACGGTGTGTTCTGTGGGGATGAATTTTGGGTTATTACGCTGTAATTATTGCTCTTCCTGCTTTCCTAATAAACGAAAAAAAATTACATCCGTTGTAGCCGAAGCACAGGGGACGAAGTTCCCTTCTGTAAGATCCGTCGGACTGGTATGTCTCACTAAGAGCATCTCTAGCAGACCCTTTATATCGCGCCGAATTACGAAATAATCCGTCAGTTTAAATTTTACGCGAAAAAGCGGCCCGAACAGAGACCTTAGACGGCCCCGACACTTAAAATGTTTTGAGTGGCGCGGTAAATTGCGCCCCCCCCCCCATCCGCGAAAATACAGGTTTTCCTCCGCCCCATCGGTTCCCTGTATAGTGGAAAAGTAGTTGGCGGGAGGGACATTTCAGTCTGCGCGCGTTCCCCTCCCCCATTCCGCAGCCACCCTGCCGCGTCGCCGCCCGCCCGCTTCCTCTGATTCCGGCCATGTCCGCCGACATAAACACACCGCCGGGCCTCTGCATACCCACGTCCACCGCGACGCTTCACCGGCGCCCCGGACCCGCCACGCCCAGCCGCCCTCGGGTCGCCGTTGCCCCGGGTCGACCGCCGCCGAGTGGCCGCCTGCCCCGAATCTGCCGGTGAGTCCTTTTCTGCCCCTTCAAGTTAGATTTAGCGAACGATTTCCGTTCATGCGAGCTCCATTGTGATTTGTAGATGGATTCGAGCCCTTGCAAGGAATTTTTGTTCAAGGATTCGTCCTCGTCTGACGACTCGGACATAGAGGCGCTGCTCGAGAACAATCGGTAGGAGATGGTGGTGGTGGTCCTCGCCGTGAAGAAACTCGAGGATATGAACAGAAAGAGATGGCGAGGATCGACCATCGGCCGTTTTTGCATCCCTCGCAACCGTCAAGTTGAGAAAAAAACACGTTCTTCAAGGGCTGGCGCGGGCTGCGGCGGAACAGACCCCGCAAGGCCATTCTGTTTTACCATTAGGCCTTGTGGGGACTATTCAGCAGCAGCCCGCTCCTGCCCTCATAACATGTTTTTCGCGGCCCATATACACTAGAATTTCCTATTCGCCGGGTGCTACGGCAAGATGTCGCATGTTCGCACAGGCGGTCGACCGATCGGTCGTATTGGGCCAGCCTGTTTAAGCGGTTTCAGCGTTCCCGGTTCTGGGAACCTTCTAGAGGTTCCTAGCCGGTTTTTTACCATTTTGGGAACCTTCTAGAAAGTTCCTGAATCGGATTTTTTTGTTCTCTTTATTTTTTCTTTTTTCTTTTTTTCCTTTTTTCTTTTCTCTCCTTTTCCCCTTTTTCTATTTATTTTCTTAACTGATTTCTTTTTTTCTCTATTTTTCTTTTCCTTTCATCTTCATTTTTCTTTCTCAGATTTACTTTTCTTTTTAAAAGAATGTTCACATTTCACAAATTTTTTGCATTTTACAAAAAAATTCTTGTTTTCAAATTTTATTCATAAATTTCAAAATTTGTTTGCTTTGTTTCATAAAATGTTTGGTGATTCAAAAAATGTTCACCTTTTTAAATATTGTTCACAAACTAAAAAATATTTGTTTTAAAAATGCTCCCATTTTTTAAAATTTGTTCGGAAATTCAGAAAAATGTTCACATGTTCAAATTTTGTTCACAAATGAAAAAATATATGGGAATTTCAAAAAACAAGTTCCTGTTTTGATATATTTTTTCACAAATATAAAAATGTTCTAGAACTTCAAAATTTGTTCCCTTTTTCCATATTTGTTTAAAATATTTTCGTTTTCAATTTTTTTCACATATTTAAAAAATGTAAGTGTTTCAAATTTTGTTCACAAATTTTAAAAATGTTCACATGTTTAATTTTGGTTCACCCATTATAAAATATTTCGGAATTTCAAATATGCTCCTGTTTTCCAAATTTTTCACATATTCTAAAAATGCTACAGTTTTCAAATTTGTCCACAAATTAGAAAATTTATTCATATTTTTTAAATTAGTTCGCAAATTAAAAATTCTTGATTTTTGTAAAAATAGTTTACTTTTGAAAAATGTTCACTTTCTCAATTTGTTATGTTTTTCGAAAAGAGATTTGTGTTCACCAAAGGTAGTTCATAATTTAGAAAATATTCTCGTATTCAATTTGTTGTTCTTACTTTGATTCTAATTTTTTTAGTTCGCATATAATGTTTGCGTTTCAAAAGTTTTTCCTTTTAAAAGATTATGCTTGAAATTTTAAAACAAGTTTTAATCTGCCGTGGATTATAGTTCATATATACTGGACTGCCTTTGTATGTACTAAACCTGTGTTACCACAGTGGCTATGGACTAGCTTCCCTGGTGTGAGGACAAGAATTTGATCCCTTGCCCACAAATTTTATTTTATGGAATTTGACGAACTTGTTTTATTTTTCACGGCTGCCTATAGTTCTTTAATACTCGCGCTGCAATTTTTCCAGAGTAGCTCGCCTATTGTGTCGCAGTGGCTAGCGCATCGCGGGCATCTATAGCAGGTCGTTGGTCGATCCCTAGGTAGTGCACCTTTTTTTTCCGATTTTTCATTCCGCCAAGGGCAGCGCATGGGCCGGCCCAGGTGACCCGTCTCCTGTGCAAAACTGCGCCTCCTTGCCGCAGTAAGCGGCACATAGAAGGTCCCCACTTTAAAGGTCCGCATCATAAGGGGTTTTTAAAAATGTGGGATAAACTAGCCTGGCCCAAACCGTTTGAGCATCATCGACAGGCCCGAACTCACGCAGCCCATAGAGATTTGTCATTTGTGTGCTCCCCACCATCAACCGCGAGCGTGCGTGTGCTCTTTTCAGAACAAAGAAAAAAGCAAGAAAAAGAAAGACTGGGAGCGCGTGGTCTGGGTCTCTCAGAACGAAGAAAAGAAAAAGGGAAACGTTTAAAGCCGGCGCACCGGTTGAAATTTCCGCCGGTCTCCCTGTCACGCTCGCTCTCTCGCATACAGCAGCCACGGGCAAAGTTGGGGCCACCAAGAGTCCACGTCTCCTTTTTATCCTTATCACTTCCCAGCTCCATACAGCCACTCGTTTGCATCTTGTCTTCCACCGCACATGACGAACGAGATCTCATCTCATCTATTCTCCCCCTTTCTGCTCGCTGGCTACGGGAAGCCATGCCACTACTGTGCCACCGTGTCTCATTCAACGCCGGCAATGTAGTCATCGTCACGCTCCTATCAGCCGCGCCGCGACGAGCAGCGAGAGGTGTTGGACCTCCAGCGGACGAGCTGCGACGGGCTTCTCCGCCGTCTATTGGCAGCTTCGACCCCAGCTGCAACCGTCTGCATCCGGTGCTGGAACCAGCGAGTCCCGGTGCTACCATCGGCTGCAGCGATGCGGGAACCAGCTCGACGACAAGCTGCAACTCGGCTGCGTCGAGTGCTGGAACCAGCGATCTCCGGTGCTACTACGGCAATGTCGGGTGCTGGAACCAGCTTTATTTTTTGCTGAAACCTGCTACCTTTTTTGCTACATGTCTTTTTTTTTGCTTCATGTGATTTGCTGGAACCGGACGTGCCTCGCACCGCCGACGTCCTTTTTTTTGCTGGAACTAGCTTTATATTTTGCTGGAACTTGCTACATTCTTTGCTACAACGACTTCTTCATTTTGGTGGTGATGGGTGGTGTTTTTGCTACAACCGCGACTATAAAAGTTACAACTGGTGAGCTGTTTTGCTACAATGGCGACGGGATGGCGGCACCGGCGAGCTATTTTTGCTGGAACCACACACTCTTTTTGCTACGACCGGCAATTTTTTCGCTGCTACTGCGAGTTAGTACTTTTTTCTCCGAGCTTGTTGTCGGCGTGTTACGACCGGCGACCGACGCCATCGGAGCTGCAGCCGTCCCCATGGGGACCTGCAATCGCTGGCGCACGCTGCTGCATGGACGACGGTGAGAAACGCAGGAGGCGGCAGCAGCGACGCCGACCTGCTGGGACGACGACCGCCGGCGGCGAGGGCAGCGACTGGCGGCGGGGCGGCAACAGGCAAGACGCGCCGGGCGGTGCTTCGAGGCCCCGGGCGCATCGCTAGTCCATGTCGGCGCGGTGGAGGCTTTTTTTTTAAAAAGGAGATGACATCTGATGGAGGGAGGGAGAGAATCGTGTGGCTACGTGACGTTTGATCGGACGATGCGGGTGCGACCGGCCCAAATTTCGGCCGGCGCCGGTGCGCCTATCACTCACCAAAGAAAAAAGACCGCGAGCGTGTTTTCTTCGCGCCTCCCAAAGAAAAAAGACCGCGAGCGTGTTTTCTTCGCGCCTCCACCACTTTCTTCTTCTGTTCGCATTGTATATTGGTTTTTCTCTGTTGGCCTGCTCCCCACTCTCGACTTCCCTCACTCGTACTGTAGTTGCCTCCACTGAGAATCTCCAGCGAACTGCTTCTGCCGGATCTGATGGCGGCCGCCATTGGGTGGCTGGTGCAGACCATCTTTGCGACCCTCAAAATCGACAAGCTCGACGCCTGGATTCGGCAAGTCGGACTTGCCGATGACATCGAGAAGCTCAAGGCAGAGATCTGGGAAGTCAAGAAGATAGTGGTCACTGCTGCCAAGGGCAGGGGGATCGGGAGCGAGCTGCTGGATGGACCTTTCGCTCTCCTCGAGGAGCGGCTCTATGAAGCCGACGACGTGGTTGACGAGCTCGACTACTACAGGCTCCAACACCAAGTCCAAGGAGGTATGCCAACAGCCCTGCTTGCCTGCTCCTAATCTCTCTAGATCCAGTTAATCCAAGTCTGATAATTATTACTCCACATCTGCTAAATTTTTTTATCTTAGTTGGCTTGAGCATTGAGAACTGAAGGTGCTCTTGGCCAAAACTCTCTCTCTCTCTCTCTCTCTCTCTCTCTCTCTCTCTCGCCCAAGTTGGGAACTATCTCTTGGACCCTGCATCCTGCAAGCTCTAGTAATGACTCTCCCCCCACGCCCGAAGCGTCTGAAGCTGCCGGTGCTTAAGCCCAGTCACCCCACTGGATTTGGTGAACTCGCCTAGTCAATCTCCTCTGAAGAAGACCAAACTGACAAATTCCTCATCATCTCCAACTGGACCTAAGGGCGGGGCCGAGTAAAAAATCTCCGTTCTCCTAGAGCCTTTCCTCCTCCCCAATGCCAGCCTCCCGCAAATCCCCCACCGTCCCAATGACCGGATCCCATGCCAGCCGATCCCCCCTCCGATGAGCTCCCCCCGCCGCCACTGCCGCAGAGGAAGTACCACGGCGTCCAACAACGGCCGTGGGGGAGTTGGGTGGCCGAAATCACGGACTGGGAGACACACAAGAAGCATTGGGTGGGCTCCTTCCACACCGCCGAGCTCGCCGCGAAGGAGTACGACCGGTGGCAGGTCCGGTAGTGAGTGCGGCGGTGGCTAGGGAGGACCGGGAGGCGAGGGAGCGCATCACGGCGGGGGCCGCTGATGAAGAGTACATGGCGGACTTCTGCGGCAAGTACCCCGAGCTGGTGGAGGCGGAGCGCGAGATCTTCGCGGAGGCGAAGCGCAGGGTCGACGGCTCCTCATCGTCCTCTCGGACGACGAGGAGGACGGCGGCATGGAGGACGATGAGGACTTCGACGTTGAAGAGTGGCGGCGCATCCTCCCCGACTCCGGTGACGACGGCACAGGGCCGAACCCCATGGGCGGTGAGATGTCGCGGGCGGTTGCCTCGCCCTCTACAAGGGTGACGACGACGATGATGTTTAGTTTTAAGTTCCATGTTTAGGTTTAAAAACTACTATGTTTCGGCGGACGATTATGTACATTATGTGTCGAATTTCAGCTGTTTAAATCGAATCTATGTTGAACTTATGAAATTTGCTTTTTTACTCTGTTAAATTTAGGAGTTCGGCTAGGTCCAACCAAAATTTAGTGGAGTAAAAAAAAATCCTCCACTAAGTTTACTCCTCTATTTTTAGGGGATCGGTTAGAGTTGGCCTAAGGAAGCTATCTTAATGTGGGTGCTGTCTGATGAGAGTTGTGGTCGGAGTCTTGTAATAAAAATAGCTACCCTAGATGCTTTATGCTGCGACCTATGGGCTGTGAGCTTTCTTAGACTCGTATGGAATATCTGAATTTTCTGGTTTCATGCTAATGGAACCGGGAGGGCTTTCTCCTCCTGATAATCGAAAAAAACATAGTGGTCTTTTCTGATCAAGGGTGCCATGAATCTGATCAACGTTTTCTTTCGCCACAGTTACAAGGGGCGAGCATGAAGATGTGCTTGTAGCTGAGCGAGTCGATGACATATCGAGTGGCGGTGCTGATACACAGCAGAGCAATGTCGGCAATTTACGCTCCGTCGTATGGGATCACTGCATGATCACAGAAACAGTTGTGGGGAAGCGTTCAAAAGCCAAATGTAATTACTGCAGGAAGGAGTTTAAGTGCGATACGACGACGAACGGGACTTCGTCTATGATAAAACATTTGGAGAATGAGCATTCCGTCAATTGTAAGAAATCTCCTGGAGTGCATCTGCCGAACCCTTCAAGGTACCTAAAGAATTGAGTAATACCTTGCATCATCACATTTTTTTAGAAATCGTCTATATACATCTTTCTTGACAACCCAGTACTTGTGGTCCTAATAGCACCTACCAATTTTTTCCTTACTGCAGCACTGTTGAGCCTATTGCAAGCTCATCCAGGGGGAAAGGAAAGAAACGGCGGTCGAAGGCATGGGATAATTTTGAAGTAATAGAAAATGAAAACCAACAGCCAATCAAAGCAATATGTAAATACTGCCATTCGAAGATCAAGTGCGGGCAGAAGACTGGGACAGCAGGTATGCTTAACCATAACAAGATTTGTAAGAAGAAACCTGGACCAGTTGACCAGACACCAAAGTCGTTGAGGTAGCTACCTCTCATCAGCAAAATTTTAGATATCATTTAATTCCCCACTGTTATTCTAATAGCCAATCCGCGGTCTTTTCCTTACTGCAGATCTGGTGATACTACTGCAAATGTGACACATATTGTGATTGGTGATTCATCTACCAGGAAAAGAAGGAGAGTAGATGAGTCAGCACAAATAACTGCAGCTAATAAACACACCCCTTGGGACAAGGCTACATTATTCAATAGGATACGAGAAATTATTAGTGAGTTACAAGACATCCGAGGGCAAGTGAGGGAGGTTCTCAAGCTGCACGGATCAGACTTATCTTCCAGTTCAAATCACCATCAGAGCATAACCTTTGATCAGCACCTAATGACATCAAGTCTTGTTCCATGGAAAGTGTATGGAAGAGTTGCAGAAAAGAACAACATTATAAAGATGATAACAGGAGAAAAATCTGATGGTGTAGTTGTTCTGCCTATTGTAGGCATTGCAGGTGTTGGGAAAACAACTCTTACCCAACTTGTATACGATGATCCGGACGTGCAAAGTAAATTTGACCACAGGATATGGGTCCGGGTGTCTCGCCACTTTGATGAAATGAGGCTCACAAGGGAGATGTTGAGCTTTGTTACTCAACAAAGGCATGAAGGATTAGACTGCTTTGTGAAGCTTCAGGAGATCTTGAAAAGTCATGTCAAATCAAAGAGGATTTTGCTTATTTTAGATGATGCCTGGGATGACAAGAACAGTTGCCGATGGAACCAACTACGGGCTCCCTTTATGTCCGACAGTGCTAATGGCAATGTGATTCTTGTGACAACTAGAAAATTGTCTGTTGCGAAAATGGTTGGAACAACGGGGCCAATTAAGTTAGGTGCTTTGGAAAATGAGGACTTCTGGTTATTGTTCAAATCATGTGCTTTTGGTGATGGAAACTATGAATGTCTTGGAAACCTTAGCACAATCGGACGACAAATAGTTGACAAGTTAAAGGGCAACCCGTTAGCAGCAGTAACTACAGGGGCACTATTAAGAGATCATCTTACAGTTGATCATTGGAGTAATATTCTCAAGAAAGAAAATTGGAAATCACTGGGACTCAGTGAAGGCATCATGCCTGCTTTGAAGCTTAGTTATGATGAGCTGCCCTACCATTTACAACAATGTTACTTATATTGTTCTATATTTCCTGTCAATTATAGGTTTCTTGATAAGGATTTGGTCTATATTTGGATTTCTCAGGGATTTGTGAACTGCACCCATTTAAGTAAGAGATTGGAGGAGACGGGATGGGAATATCTGAATGATTTGGTGAACCTGGGATTCTTTGAGCAAGTTGAAGAACAACAGAAAGATGGTAGTCAAATTTGGTATTCTATGTGTGGTCTCATGCATGATTTTGCAAGGATGCTTTCAAGGACTGAGTGTGCAACTATAGATGGTCCACAGTGCAATAAAGTGTTGCCAACTATACATCATTTGTCAATAGTAACTGATACCGCATACAAAAAAGATCAGCATGGAAACATTCCTCGTAATGAGAAGTTTGAAGAAAATCTGAGAAATACGGTTACTTCAGTTGGCAAATTGAGAACATTGGTATTACTTGGGGACTATGACTGTTTCTTTATAAAGTTGTTCGAAGATATATTCTGGAAGGCACATAATTTACGTCTGCTGCAAGTGTCTACCGCATCCACTGATTTAATTTCCTTCCGGTGTGGTTTGACCAATCCTATGCATCTTCGTTATCTAAAACTTAAGTTGTATGGGGTTGTGCCACAAGATTTGACTGAGTCTTTTAATCTTCAAATACTAGATGTTGACCCAGACGCAAATACTTCTCTACCCACCGGCTTGCATAATTCCCTCATGTGCAGTTCGGCAAATCTTACACATCTTCCCTATCATGAACAACCTAATAAGGTGGATGGGGCTTTCCCTCAAATATTGAGCAAGTTGTACCATCTTCAAGTATTGGATGTTGGCTCATACAATGATCCTATACCTGATGGTCATAATAATCTTGTTAGCCTGCGACATCTTGTTTCAGAAAATGGAGTATACCCTTCCATTGCTAGCATTGGTAACATGACATCACTTCAGGAGCTACATGATTTTAAGGTTCAGTTTTGTTCTAGCGGCTTTGAGATAACACAACTCCAATCGATGAACAAGCTTGTAAAACTAGGGTTGTCTCAACTTGATAATGTTAAAACTCGTGAGGATGCTAATGGGGCAGGACTAAGAAACAAAGAACACCTAGAGGAGCTTCACTTGTCCTGGAAGGAGACCTTGTTGGAGAATGAATATGTCAATGACACTAGATCTGAATCTTCTGTGAACATGGCAAGAGAAGTTCTCGAGGGTCTTGAACCACATATGGATTTAAAACATTTATATATATCTGGGTATAGTGGTACTACTTCACCAACTTGGCTTGCCAACAACATCTCAGTTTCCTCCTTGCAGACGCTTCACCTTGATGGTTGTCGAGGATGGAGAATACTTCCATCACTGGGAAGTCTTCCATTTCTTACAAAGCTGAAGTTGAGCAGCATGCGGGAAGTAATAGAAGTATTGGTTCCTTCACTGGAGGAGCTAGTTTTGATCCACATGCCTAAGTTAGTGAGATGCTCAAGCACTTCTGTGGAGGCTCTGAACTCTAGCTTACGAGCACTACAGATCGAGAATTGTGAAGCATTGAAGGAGTTTGATCTGTTTGAGAAGGATGATAATTCTGAAATCATTCAGGGATCATGGTTACCTGGTCTTAGGAATTTGATTCTGAACTATTGCCCTCATTTCAAAGTGTTGAAGCCTCTTCCGCCCTCAATCACCTTTTTTAAGTTACTCATCAGTGGAGTTTCAACACTTCCATATATGGAGGGATCATCTAGTGGAAAGCTATGTATTGGGAATTTTCATGAGGTTGATTGCAATGGTTTCGATGGTACTTCTGATGAGTTGAGGATATTGGATGATAAAATTTTGATGTTCCATAATCTGAGAAATCTCAAATCGATGGTGATATGTGGTTGCCGGAATCTAAGTTCTATTTGGTTCAAAGGTTTTAGTTATCTCGTTTCTTTAACGAGCTTGGAAATAAGCTGGTGTGAAAAACTTTTCTCTTCGGACGAGATGGAAGAGCATACCCATGAGGACGTGCGAGCTGAAAATTACAACGCATTCCCCTCTCTTGAAAGTCTCAGTATTTTGTATTGTCGTACAGCGGAGAAATGGCTATGTCTGCTGCTGCAACATGCACCATGCCTAGAAGAATTGGTGTTATGCTCAGAAGAGGACACGTCATCAGGAAATCTAAACGATGGGTTAGGTCGAGTTGGGTCCTTGAACATTCCATTAAATCTCGTCTCCCCTCTCAAGAGGATAACTATTGAGGGCTGCCCTCGTCTAACATTTAACTGGGGCAAGGACGATGTCTTGGGATTTACCACCCTTGAGAAGCTATGTATTCGGGACTGCCCCAAGCTGCTCTCGTCGTTGATCCATACAAATGGAAGATGGCTCCTCTCGAACTCACTTGGTGAACTTGAAAGCAATGGCCATTCTCAAAAAACGCTGCAACTCTGCTTCCCAAGTGATCTCACAAACCTTAAAAAATTAGAGGTATACCACAGCCCAGGTTTGCAATCTCTACAGCTGCCCTCATGCACGGCACTGGAGGAATTGGTGATTGGATATTGTGCATCGCTCAGCGTACTAGAGGGCTTGCAATCCCTTGGCAGCCTCAGGCATTTGAGAGTATGCAAGTGCCCTGGCTTGCCACCATATCTGGAGAGCTTTTCAAGGCAGGACTATAAGCTGTGCCCTCGGCTGGAAAGGCTTGACATCGATGACCCATCTGTCCTTACCACGTCATTCTGCAAGCACCTCACCTCCCTGCGACGCCTACACCTTTCTGGGCTGGAGAAAGTAAAGAGACTAACAGATGAGCAAGAGAGAGCGCTTGTGCTCCTCAAGTCCCTGCAGGAGCTCCGATTTCAGAGCTGTTATCCTCTCGTAGATCTTCCTACGGAGCTACACAACGTTACTTCCCTCAAGAGATTGGAGATACGCGCTTGTTGGGGCATCTCAAGGCTACCGGAAACAGGCCTCCCACTTTCTCTGGAACTTCTGGAAATCAACTTTTGCAGCAAGGAGCTCGCTGATCAATGCAGGCTGCTAGCAACAAGTAAGCTAAAAGTCATAGTTACTAGGTGTAATTCTTGATACCTTGACGCCAAGTTAAGCCCATGTTTCTACACACACAATATATATCGCCGGACTGCTTTTGAGGAAATCGTGTGTGATATATCCTCAGAGTTGACATACCCTCATAAAACGTGCTCACTCCAGAACGAGCTGTCCCTGATGGCAATCAAGCTGCCCTGCCCAACATACATCACATTACAGGTAAACCGCCATGTCTGGCTCCTCATTTGTTATTCATCTCCTCTTCCTCTTGCAAACCAAAAAAGATGATTAATCTTCATCAAGACATAAATCCAAAGCCCCCGCAAAAAAAAAGACATAAATCCAAAGATGCGTTCTGTTGTTTGTTACACAGGTTGGTTTGGTCCGGAATTTCCTTGCTACACGATGCACATATGCTCTGCAGCTACAATAATGCACTTCGGAGATCATAATATTAGTTCTCGTCTGACGACACGAGAAGGATATGTGGGGGTAGTCTTAATTAAATTCATCTGTTGATCAGTCAGGCTGAGAAGTCAGGACAGCCTCTCGAGGCAGACACCCTAATGTGTGCCTGAATTGTTAATTATGAATGTGCAAGCCTGTAACCTCGTGTGCAGTCCCCGATTATCTTGGTACTACATCCTAGTGAGCTCATTTCTTCCCATTGTCTTTTATCTTTGTGATGCTTCAGACTATCTTTGTGATGCAGTGTGTCTGTACTGTTCTATCATGGTATGGTTGTTGGATCTCCACAGAATTTTGCTCCTGGTCTGGAGTCATTCTGTCAGTGATTGCTTGCTTTGCCGACTTCAAGTCTCTGTTTGGTCAAGCTGATTCTGAAGCTTGCTGGAGCCGTGGTCGGGAATGTGAGGAACGATAAAACTTCTCATCAAAGTGAGGCACATTAAAGCTCCCTGTTTCTTGTTGACTGTACGAGCTGCTTTCTTCAGTGTGGAGTGGAGTATGGTTCCAAAATGTAACTGAAAATGGGACAGAGAAGGCCAAGGCCAGCAGATGGGTTCGGTCTCCTGTGCCAAAGCCCAACAGTAACGCCGAGGAAACAGAGCTGATATGGCCTCCTGTATGTAAGAAAAAAGAGATGGTATTGGCCCGCTCCAGTTTCATTCAATGCCCTCCCTCGCATGTGCAAACCCGTTCGAGTTCGAAAGCCTTGCATACATGTCTGAATCTGAAGGCACGGATATTCAGTATGACAATGACGCCATATTTGAAATGCCTTTGCATTCACCAACGGTCGGTCACTATTAAGTTGCTTTGAACTTTTGAAGGTGTATATTGCCAACAACGTAGGAATCAAAAGTCAACCAACAAGGATAGAAGCCTATGGCCAATGTACAATCGCAGGAGCTGTCGTCTTTTTACGTGATATATTGCGTTATCAAGAAGAAAACTATTCTTGTCTTTACTTTGGAAATTTGTACATATATGAATTTTCATGAGTTTGTTATATACGTAATTTAGTATATGTATATTACCCTTTCAGTGTGCATAATTTACAGGGTTTTTTAATAAATAAGCAGGCTGTACCAAAAGCAATATCCAACACAAGAAAATCCGTAAAAAGTATTATAAATACTTGTAAACATCAAGTGAAGAATATTTATTTCATGATTCATTTACCCAAAAAGGCTTTCGCCCCGCTTTATATATAAAGCAGATCAACATACATACCGCAAACAACCCGACATCACACACACCCAAGGCAGATACAAGGAAGCTGACGTACAACAACACTACTCCAAAAGCTTCAAAGCAGACAACTAGTAGACAGATAGAGCATAGCTAAGGATCTAAGGAGCTCTCCTTCGTGAACGAGTCACCGCGAGGGGACGAAGCCGACACTCGACGAACCAAGGCCTCCAAAAGCGGTGCTTCCAGGAAAGAAACGACACCGTAGAGCCGCCACCGCCCGATCCACTGAATCGAGGTTTTCACCCGGAGTAACACGAAGGACGCAGGGCCACCGCAATGGAGCCTTCAAGAAGGGAACGACACATGGACGCCGCCGCCATTGGTATGGCAAGAGCCAGACGAGGTTTTCACCCCGGCCACCACCCTCCGCCTCCCCCTGGCGTACGGCCCAAAACGAGAGCGCCGGCCGCACCACCACCGTAGAACGTCAAGAGCCCGCCCCCCCCCATGCCGCCCACGCGACCATGACAGCGAGCCGCCCGCACCCGAGCCACGAGCTCCGCCCACGAGTCCGCAGCTCCCGCCACCAAGGCCGCCGCCCTGCATCCAGACACTCCGAAGACCAACAAAGGGACGGGTTTTGAGTCGATCGGCAAAACCCAAGCACCAGCAGTACCGCCGGTGACCGTCCCGCCCCGGACACCGGTTTGCAGCCAGGAGGCGCGAGGCCTGGGAAAGGGGAGGGGGAGCGGAGCTCGTCCGGACCGGCGCACCCCTGCACCGGTGACAGGTAGTCGGCCTACCCGTCCCTCCAGCAGGCTCCCCTACGTCACCCCTGATGCCCTAGCACGGCCATCGGCCAGACCCATGCGAGGAAGATGCAGCCACCCGTCCACCGGCGAGGTCCGCCGAATCGATCGCATCCGCCACCGAAGAAGGCCTCCAGAGGGGCCAGCGCCCTGACCCGCACCACCGGCGTGATGCCGGAACGCCCCGCCGCCAGGAACCGTCGCCGGAGCCACCTCTTGCAGCGCCGCCCCCACCACCTGACGCAGGTCAAGGCAGGGGGGCCGCCCACATCCCGCGCTGCCACGACCCTCTCCACCCGTCGCCGGCGCTGGCCGCATCACCGCCATCAGCAGTGAAGGGCAGCCCAACAAGAGGCGAGAACCAACCCCATGACGCCCGCCGCACCGCCGCCAGGAGCTCGTCGCCGACCACTCCATAGCATGCTGCGCCGCCGCACCCGCCAACCAGTCCGGCGCCCAGGCCCGGCGGATCTGGCCCACGCCTGACCACCCGCGCGAGGGGACGAAGGAAGCCCCGGCACCGTCTGCGCAGACCGGGGCTTCGCCCGGCCACGCCCTCCGGCGGCGGCGAGGGGGAGTAGGGAGGGAGAGGGGCCGAGCGGAGGAGATCGGGGTGCCCTCCCCAGCCGCCTCGCATGTATGTCTAATTTTTAGTTTGTGGTTATATCAGTCACTTTTTTTCCATATGAACCCGAAAAATGTCAGGTTCTAATATCATAGAAACAATGGAACAAGTTATATCAGTCACTTGTAGATGATGGTAGTTAGATGTGGATAAGAAAACAAGAAATGTGACTAGTTTAAGAAAAACAACTATAAATAGAGAGCCTGTCATTTATCACTTGGAGCAATCTTACAATCACCTTGTGTTTATTTATCGGGCACCGATAGGCGCCGGTGCGCCGGCCGAATCGTTCGGCCGGTCCAGCCCCAGCCGTTGGATGTGAGCCGCGCAGCCTTTGGATCTGGTTAAAAAAAACGCCCCAACAGCTTCTTCCTCGCGTGGTCAGGCCAGATCCGCATCTCTCGCTCGGGGGAGCACGGCGCGACGCCTCCTGCCCCCTTCTGCGGCCATCCTCGTCGCCGAGCCCCACCCCTCGCCGGCCTTCCTCATCGCCGGTCCCCCGCCCTCGCCGTCCGTCCTCGTCGCCGGTCCCCACCATCCCCGGCCGTCCTCCTCGTCGCCTCGACCCATGCAACAACTCTACCTGCGACTGCAGCTCTCGACTGCGATGGTTGTAGCTCCGCCGCCGCCCTCGCCGTGGATGCTGGCTGCAGGGGATTGCATCGACGACGGCCGCCAGTTAATCAGCGCAGTTTGAACGGATGTAGCAAAAACTTCACCGGTAGTAGCAAAAAACAACTGCGGTTGCAGCAAAAACACACCGTCGTCATCGTCGCAGGGGCGCAGCGGTTGTAGCAAAAAACTTCGATGATAGTAACAAAAACCTATTATGGTTGCAGCAAATCGCCATTGCCGCCGTCACGAGGTCGCAGCTCCGGCTTGATCGGTGTAGCACAAAACTTCGTCGGTAGTAGCAAAAATTAACTATGGTTGCAGCTTTTCCTTGTTATGCCGTGTCGTCCACCGTCACTGATGTAGCAAAAAAGGTCGCTAGTAGTAGCAAAAACCAATAACGGTTGTAGCAAAAATCTCGTCGCCCGTCGTCTCGCCGTGACTGTTTGTAGCAAAAACCGATGCAGGTTGTAGCATCGAGGCTCGTCGGTTGTAGCAAAAAATGACCATGGTTGTAACCTCGATCCAGCAAACTTGTGCCGCGGGTGTAGTCCGGCGTGGCCGGTTGCAGCTCCGGCATGGCCGGGTCTGACGAGGTAGGCAGAGCTCCGGTGGCGCGGAACCAAGCGGATCTGGCCGAGGACAGCCGGATCGGCTGATTCCCATGGCGGCGGCGGCCTGGGAGGCCTCCGGGCGACGACGATTGACCAAGGCAGCGGGGCCTGAGAAGGAGCAGAGAAAGAGAGAGAGACGAGCGACGAGCGACGGGGAGAAGAGAAAAAGGTGGAAGAAGACCCACGTGGGCAGGGGCCCATTCTACGTGCCGTTAGCCGAGTGGCTGGGAGGAGGCGCGCGTGGATTGGACCGGCGCAACGGTTCGGCCGGTGCCCCGGCCACAAACAGTTCCCTTATTTATCCTCTGAAACCAGCATGAGGTACCCATCCTCTGAAACCAACATAGGATGCTCACAGCTTCAGCCTCAGCAGCACCGTCGACTTCTGCAGCTTCGTAAGGATCTGCCCACAGCGCCTCCACATCGACGCCCAGAGGCTCACCGGAGCCGGGGGCGGGAGGTGGCGAGCTCGCCTGCGAGGCATTCCCTGAGCGCACTGCCATCACGGCAGGCCAGCCCCACTGGCCGGAACATCGGGCATCCAGGCGGCGGCGGCGGCCGGCAACTACCGGCGCATGGCGTAAGAGGGTAAGCCTCAAGAAGACAAACAAACTAAATGGGCCGAACATTGGCACAGGCCATTAGCACATACATTTATATATAGCCTAAAAACATATATTTTTATATTTTCCAAAAAAGTATATATTCAGTAACCACTTT